CTGGTTTTTCCAAGAAAATTGCCAAAAAAGGAAATTTTTTAGGAAATTTAGGATCAGCGGAAAGAGTTTTTTTTTCCTGATCTGGAAAACTTATTAAAATATATATATATATATATATATATATATATAATTACAGTTGATATTTTGAAGAGATATTTTTTGGCAAAATATTTTATGCTGAATAATTACAATATTAATTATAATTACTTATAGTCAAAAAATTTGTTGAAATATTTGGATGAATATTTAAAATCAATTCAAGTATTCTAGCTAACTTATAAATAATATTGTAATGATTTATATTTCTATAATATGATACCATTAAAAGGTTTGCTAAATTAGGCATACAGTTTGAAAAAGATTTTAAAATGTAAACAAGAAAAAGAAACGGAAAAAGGTAAAAAATAAATAGTTAAATCCAAATAATGAAAAATTACTGAATATAAAAATCATTAATGTATTTAAAGGATGAGAAACAAATTGAGAAAAGTATATGAATAGATGAAATTTGAAGGACAATTAGGTTAAAAAAAAAAAGCGAAAATTCTTGAAAAACATTTGGCAAGATAAAATTAATTGAAACTAATTTTAAAAGAGTCAAGCCAAAATCTTTAAAGAAAAAAGAAAGGTAAGTGAAAAAAGAGGAAAAGGAAAATACCAAATAATTTAATTATTTGATTTTGTAATTTTATAATAAATTTTATGAAATTTGAATTTTTGCTACAATAATTTTTTTGTTGAATTTTTTGTTGTAGTATCAATTTTTTGCTGAATTTTTTTCTATAGTAATTTTTTTGTTGAATTTTTTGTTACAGTATCAATTTTTTTGTCAAATTTTTTGTTATAATATCAATTTTTTGTCAAATTTTTTATTACAATATACAAAAAAAATTTTTGCCACAATATGCAAAAAATTTTTTTTATTATAATATTATTAAATTTTATATTAAATTTTTTTGCTGCAATATGTAGATATTTTTTTGTCAATATTTTGTCAATATTTTTAATGCTGAGTGGCAGCAATCATAAAAAATTCATCAATATTTTTATTATTAAAATTTTTCAAATTTGATAATAATTCAGTAGTCAAATAACATAATTTTGACTAGTATATATAATATAATAATAAAAAAACTTTTTTAAAAAATTGTGTTTATTTTAATATATTAATATTTGACAAATAAATTTTTTTATAAAATAAAACAAAAGTTTGACATATCAATTTTGTGAATATATTTATATTACGTGTTTTGATATTTATATATATAGTAAAATAATTTTGATATTTTTTTATCTATTGTTTTAAACTTTTGAATGTCTTCTTGAATTTTGCAAGTTTTGAGTTTTGATCGATTTATTGATTGGAACTACTATTTATAAAATTTCTTTTAATATCTAAAAAGATATTACTTTACATTGATCTGATTAAAAGTTAGAAAGATTAATATTGAATTCTTTGACTTTATTGTGATTCAATTTTTATATTTGATTTTTTCTTTCCTTAAAAATTTTATCTATGATAATATTTATATTCAAAAAAGTGATACTTATCTATTCTTAAATATTAAGTAGACCTGTGGATCAATAGTGCAGTGGATGTGCTCCCAAATCACCATTTGCAAGTTACTGGTTCAATTCCACAGAACAGTATTTGTATTATAGGTTACATTGTACAAGAATGTATGCTTACCAGCCACATGCAAGTTTGAACACAAAAATAACCTATAGAAATCCACCGTCTGATCACGGTGTCATAAAACAGGTTATACAGGTTCCAGTCAGTTTTAGCACTGGAAAACAAACCATGACATCCCACTACTTGGAATATGCACAGACACCAAGAATGTCAAGAAAGATAATGATAAGACTCAGGATCCTATTGGCCTCATACGGAATCTACCTCTTCTCAAAAACTCTAGTCTCATGGAAGGTCTGGGAGACTTCAGTCACACAAACCAGCTGCAAAATGTAAAGGGCCAGACATATACTGGGAGATCTTTGATTATTATCATCAATGGCTACCAGAGATTGGATCTCACGGGTGGTCAACAAGGAGTGATGAAATTGAATAGTCACGATGAAAAAATGCAGAGGCAGACCCTGGGAGAAGAAATTCGGAAACAATTATCAAGGTAACTATTCCATTAGGAGAAGCAATCCATTACGAAGCAACCAAGAGAAACCTCTGCAGATATATTTGAAGAGTGGTTAAAAATGGTCACTGGAAGACTACGGTCATCAATCTGACTTATCAATGGTCACCAGGAAACTTAATGGGACCACATGGAAATTGAAGAATATCACTGGATGACTAACTTCTGAGAACTAAGCATAGTTAAAGATATCAAAATTATGGAATACAACCCCTTTAAGGTATATAAGCTCCCTAGAATCGAACAATCTCAACAGCTCCTTGAATATAAATAGAAGTCCCCTGGTGGATCCTAGGAACATCAGGAGTGCCCAGGCATAGTAGGGCAGTTAACAGGATAGTATCCATATCGGATAAAATCTAAAGGTGTTTAAATGGTTTAGGATAGTTTAAATTAGCTATAAGAATCGCTCTTGTAAAAATAATTCTATATGACTTCTTCATAACCGATCAATAAAGCTCAGTCAGTATGACTAAATTAAAAAAAATAAAATAAAATAAAATATTAAGTGTTAATAAATTTGTTTAGGTTTTTATTCTTTATTAGTTTTTGAATATTATAATTTTTTTTTTTTTAAACTTATCTAACTGAAAAGTATTTTTTTAAAAACTTTTTTCTCTATTATCAATAATATTATTGAAATATATAGTTTTAATCAATAGAAATTTGTTTATATTTTAAAAACTAATAAGTTTTATATTAATCAATTACTTTTGATAATAATAATACTATTCATAAATTTAATATCCAATTTAGATAAGTAAAATATTTTAAAAAACAATAAAAATGAATATTCCAAAAGGATTAAGATAGATAAAAAAAAATAAAATTTTTTATTATCAAAATTTTTCATAATAATTTAGTTTAAAATCAAAAAAAAATCTTTAAATATTTGATAGCTAATTTTTTTTGCTATTGGTAATAAAAATATTTATTTGACTTTTTTTGATTATTAAAAATCAAGTTTTTGATCAAAGAGATTTATTTGTAACAAGAAAGAAAAGATAAAAATAATCCTTAAAGATATTTTTCAAGTTGTTTTTAAAAAAGTGTTAAGATTTTATTAATTAAAAAGTTAAAAACTTTGCATAACTATTTTTTTTATATACTATATATAATCTCAATAAAAAAAATTGTTTTTTGATTTCAATTATTATTATTATTTTGTTTTAAATAATCATTATTTCTAGATATAAAATTCTTAATAAAATTTGATATTTATTTGTATATTTTTTTTTAATATTTCACATAAAGTTTCAATAATATATAAAATGAATAGGTTTGACCATATATTGCTGAAATAATATTTTCCATATTATTTCAAGCTATTAATAATCTGATGATACATAAATATATAAATGCAAATAAAAAATAGTTTAAAAGTTAAAATTTTGAATATTATAATTTTCCTTCATAGTCTAATGATTTTGATACTATAATACATTTACATTTTCTTTTCTTTTTTTTTTGTTAGGAATTTTCTTTTTCCAAATTGTCAAATTACATATCTTGTCCACATGCGCCCTTCTTAGGAACTTTCTGGTAAACTATCAACAATAGATGGAATAAATACGGGTGAATCGGCAGAAAGGTTGGAATAGGTTATGGCAGTAACAGAAGGGTTGACATAATTTTCAGTTTCACTACTACTGCTACTGGATACATCATATTGACCGCTGGCAGCAGCAATCGCAGCTTCACGTTTGTTAGCAAAATCCTCCATAAAATCCCATAGGCGAACACTCGCTAGAATTTTGACTTCTTCCCCGTTTTGAATTGTGCGAATGTTGCGTCCTTCCTTCGTTCCATCACGATAGACGTGTGCATAGAAACAGGAGGAACCGAATTGACATTGGCCATCGCCATAATTAAAGTGTTTGCACGCAATGGTACTGTTTGGTGATAAATAAATAAATGTAGATTATAAAAACGAATCGTCAATGTAAGGTTACGGTAATAATTCCCGTCGCACCTGCATTTTAGTTTGTACTCCTCGATGACCTTCTGTTTTTCGGCACGGTCCGTAATCCAGGTGGTGGATGGTGTGATAAAATGGCTAGGTATTCTACAGATTGGACATGATCGAATTACCTGATTGTCCTGGATAAGATTCGATCGCCATTGACGAATGCATTGGAGACAAAATGCGTGCTCACAGTCTAAATATCAAAGCATTTATAGCTATTAGTTAAGCTCGGTTATTATGTCGACAAACTTCAATCATAAACTTACTCAAAAGCCCAAAGCGAGCGTCTTCTTTGCTTAGCACCTTTTCAAAGCAAATTCCACATTCAATGTCCTCCGGCTTGATACAGTGAATAACTTGAATTTGCCTGTTACAACATTCCTCGATGTGTTCTAAACGCATGAAGTTCAATAAAGAATGGAATTAGTACATTTGGTTAAATAAATGACCAGCATTGAGGCATCGCTTACCTTTATGTTCCTCAGATGTCTGGTACGGGTGCAACACAAGCCTGAGACATGATGGACACATCAAGCCATGAAGATTTTGGCAACGTTCACCATAACGACACTTTCCAGCCATCCCGAATGGGCACAGCTACAATTTTGCCAACATGATAAAAATCGATAGACAATCGAAAAAAAAAAAGATTTTGATATTCATTGTTGTTAGGCAAAAATATTATTATATAATTTTATTTTTTTATATCTCCATACAAAGAGTAATAAAAAGAGAGAAATACACCGCCCTCCCAAAATATAAACAAACGTATTTTTTTTTTTTTGTTTTTTTGAGTCCTTTTTTTTTTTTTTTGAGATATATATAAAGTTCACTAAAGAGGATGGATATATTATACATGTGAACCCTAAACGGGAAATTTTTTTTTTTTTTTTGAATTATATATATATTTATATCAACAAACCGGCTCATAACGCCTCGAGTCTATACTGAGTCCGGGGGTGGCCCCTGAGTCCTTCAGACCTGCCTTGGTGATTGCAGAGTAAGAGAGAGGAGTCTTTTGTGTTTCTGACGCTTTTGTAGGGGACGTCTCCGGCGCTTTTGTAGATGCTTCTGGTACGGGAGTTTGATCGTCCATTTTAAAAACAAAATCATCATCCGGAAAAGGACTGAAAGGATCTGTTGGAGTCGCATGATCATTGCCGTTGATCGTTTCACCCGGTCTACCTATGGGGCCGACATCATAAAAGGAATTATTTCCAGGATAAGATTCTTGAGGTAAGGGTATGTTTATGGCAGGCGTTGTGCCAGGGAAATGGTTCGAATATGTGGCCGAAGGATAAGGAATGTGATTTTGATTATTATTAAGAGGGTGCAGAGGGCTCATAGGAGAGATTGGGTCATCAAAATTTGTGTTGACAGTAATATTTCTACTCGGGAAGAACGGATGCGGACCAAATCTGGTGTTCAAATGTTGTCCATCATTTTGGTTCAGAAAGTTAGAAGACAGTCCCACGCTGATACCGGTGGGCAAAGATCTTCCGCCAAGGTGGACGTGTGTAGGATCGACATGTGAATTATAGTAATGAAGATGAGAACCGTCTATATGCATTGGATGCAAGGTAGAAGAATTACTGAATAAACGCCTAGGACTTAATTCAGCATTTTCATCTTGTCTACTACGACGCCGTTCACGTTCCTCCTCTTGCCTACTACGACGCCTTTCACGTTCGATAGGTATCAGCAACTCATTTAAAGAGGAAGGAAGAAATTCTTCGTAGTCATAAGTGTTTAACTCATCGACAATAGTTTCTTCATGTTGTGAGTAATCGTGAATTTCCGGGATGCTTTGAAGTTGATGGGAGTTGGTGGTCGGGGAAAGCATACCATTATCAGACACGGGTAAGAAAAGAGATTTTGCGCCTCCAGCTTGAAAAGAGGCTCCACTGAAATTTTCAAAAGCAAATATATCTGGTAACGACCTGCGTTGTTGGCCATTAATATTTACGGGAGCGGATAAATGATCGCCGAAATTTGTGGGAATATTGCGCATTCTAGGCGCAGTCGAATTTTCATCGGAAAACGGGTGATGTTCGTTCAAGGAGGCGGTCAATTGACTGTAGGGCCTGTTGTTGTTCGAAAATTCCGAGGGGCTGATTGGAATACGGGTGAAAGGGATGCCAGGAGAGTTCAAAGGCTGGTAGTCATTAATATCCTGACCATACCCTTGAGGAGGCATGATAGGAGATCTGATTTCTTGAATATTATTAGACCTCGACCCGTTCTTGCTGATGCCATTACCATTTCTTCCGTTGGTACTTGATTTGCGTTCATTTGGTAGCGTATGAGAAAGGGCACATTTATTTCCGAATTTGCAATTTCCTTTCAAAAAGTATTTGCACACATAATTATCGGATGGAGGGTCTTTGCTGTGAGAAAAGACACAATTTTTGCCAGCGGTACACGCTCCACTTTTGAAGAACTTGCACGGAATATGTGCTAGATTACTATTGCCTGCGGAAGTCATGTGTGAGAATAAAGGAAGGAGGTTAAAAAAAAAAAAAAAAAAAAAAAAAAAGGAAAAAAAAAAAAAAAAAAAAAAAAAAAAAAAAAAAAAAAAAAAAAAAAAAAAAAAAAAAAAAAAAAAAAAAAAAAA